GTTTTCGAAACTATATAAAAAATGTTTTTAAAATTATACAATATATTTTTTGAAAAACCGTTTTCTGAAAACTATATATTATACTTTGTCAAAATGTTTTGAGAAAAAGACTATATATATATATATATATATATAATAAAAAGAAATCAAATAACTCCGAGCGAAAATGAGTGTCTACACACATTAAATTTTCAAAGGTGAGTATTAAAATAAAATAAAATAAAATATTAAATAGAATTTTAGATAATTAAAAGTTTAAACGGTAAAACAAATTAAAATTAATAAATTAAATAATAAATATTTAATTTACCCATGAAAAAACACCCTCGGGCTGAATGTAACAGGAGACTCGTGGTTGTGGATCAACGAACGGATCCGGACCGTCCGATGGATGGGTCACGGTCACGGAACTTCCGAGAATGTAGGCCCCACGTTCATCTGCCGATCATATATTTTTTCCTCGCCTTGGCCTATTTTCACGCTCGAGATATGTGGCCGCTAGTGATGACGTGTGAAATCGGCCCCCACAAATATTTTTTAATTAAAAAAATGGGGAACCTATGCGTTCGGTCAAATTTCACCGCGCAGATGAAAAGAGGAAATAAAAGCGCCCCACGCATTTATGTCACGCGCGCTACGGGTGGTGGGATTCACACTTTCAAACAAACGTGCAAAAGAAAAGAGATAAATAATTGTAAATAAAAAAGGCAATCTGACGTGGCAATGTTCCTTTCGTTATGTGTCGGATTCTAAAGGAGGCACGTGGTTTATGTTTCCCGCTTATTAGTTGCCTCGGATCTTGTTATTGGCTGCTTTTTTGCATTCGATAAATATAATATTTGCAGATTAAAATGGGTGAAAATATAAGATAATACGACACGGATGTTTTTGCACACAATTAATAACATGGCAGTCGGAGAAATCATTTTGGCTTTCCCATCTATTTTATTATGGATTAACCCTTCCCTTGTCCCTATAACTTTTATAAACTTAAAATTTAATCCTCCTCTTTAATAATTCTGAAAAATTAATTATTTTACAAGTAGGCTTGAAAAATAGAACTTAAATGAATAAGGTTATATTAGTATTTATGGACGTGTTCATTTGTTTATTTTTTTAAAGGTATCTATGTTCGATTCGTGTTCATTTAAATTTCAATTTCGTATTCGTGTTCATGTTTGTTTGTTCGATGTTCGTGAACATATTTGTTTAACCTCCACTAGTGCTTAAACTCAAATTTTAATAGTATGTTCAATTTAGTCCACACATTCATCTATATTCAAATTGTAAAAGAAAAACGAGTTATAAACAAGTCATCAAACGAGTTTGTTCATAAATGAACGAATGAGTCGTTGAACGAGCTTATTCGTGAACATAAATAAATCGAATACGTCTCTCTTCATGTTTGTACGTTTATGAAATAAACTTAAATTTTTTAATACATTTATTTAATCTAATAGAAAAACATAAAATGAATGATATACGAATTATTCATAAACAGATTACCAAACGATCATTTACACCATTATTTATGTGTATTATTAAGAATTAAAGGCTAATGTACAGCATAAATATGTCAGATGTTATTATTTAAATGCTTAATCTGAAACTGAAAACCTAATTAAAAATACATATTCAAATTTGACAGAAGTCATAGTTTATCAGTTAGAATTCAATTTTTAAAGCCAGGGGGATTAAATATCATAATTTTAAGGATAAAAGGACTGAGGGCATAATTAGACGTTTAATGACACACATTCATAGCCTGTCGTCCACTTGCGAGTTTCTAGTGGGTGAGCAAAAGGGGTTCAATGCACGAGGATGTCATTTTATGAAGGCTTTCGAGCAATAATAAATAAATAAAACAGAAACTCGTTTTTTTCAGGAGTTATGGTCGCCACGTCAGAATGTGGGACCCACTACGGTGGGTCACCTTTTGTCTCCTTGTGATACCTTCCATTTCTACGCTATCGCAAAATACCCATAGCTATGCCACGTGTACAGCCGATGTGCTATGTCACTTGAATACGTGGCAACATTCCTAACCGTGAGTTTAAACCCTAATCGTCAGCAAATAACAAACAAAACTTCCCATTATTTCTCTAATTTAGTGTTACTGTAATTCATTATGGGAAAATTATGTGTTTAAAACTTAAATTATTAATTTTGATCTGTTTTATTACTTAAATTTTCATTTTTTTCGTAATCATATCTAAAGTTTAATTTTTGTTTCATTTTATTATCTCGTTTAAAATTTAACGTTAATTTTTTTTTAAAAAAATAATTAAAATAAAACAAAAATTAAACTTTAAGTATAATTTAAATTTTTTTAAAAATTTAAATATTAAAATAAACCAACACTAATAATATTTAGTTTATCTTTTAATTAATTAATTTGGGAACAATCGTACATAGATTAATCTTTCTTACTTTTTTTTTCCAATTATATAAAATATTAGTGGGCGGGACCCATTTTATTATCCATACGTGGACTATTTGTACTTTATTTAATATTTGTGTATGAATTGAAAAATTTAAAATATGATACACGTTCTCATACTCTTTGTATATTTAAAATTTAGATACTTATCGACGAAATCAGACAATGAAGCAATTCACAGTTGCTGTTGAGTTCGACGAAATGAGATACTTAATCGATGGATTGCGGACTTTTATGTGCTAAACAATGAAACAAATATTACAAAACCAGACAATAAACCCAACAAACATGTTTAAAGGAAACTCTTTTCTTTATTCCTTAATTTCCCCACTCCTTGATTTCTTTCCTGTTAATAAAGAAAATTTACTATGATTGGGCTTTAAAGGAAACTCTCGGTTCTTGTAATCGACCTCGAAAACTCACCATCTAAGCTATTGATTGAGCTTTAAATTTTGCTTCAGTCAATCATTTAAGCAAACACTCGGAAGACAATATTAATACTCTGATTAAATTTAAGCAGCAATGGTGAAAGAAAATGGCATTTTGAAAACATTCAAAGGGAACTTATAAACCCTAAACCAACCAAGAATAACTGGATTTCATTACCATGCAAAATTAACCGGAATTTATTGACCTTACTAACATCAAACTTTCTTTAGAACCACAGATAAAACTAAAAATTACTAAAATTTTCAGGGGAAAAAAACTCAGAGTTGCTGCATTTCCTTAATTAGACCGTCGTTAAAAGTAACTGTTTGAAGAAACAAGCCATAACCGTAGAAAATTAAGAACTAAACGAGCACAGGGATAAACAAAAAGGTGAATTTACCGATAAATAGAAGAAGAAAAAGCTTATTTCTTCGGATTTTGAAAAGAGAGGGTGATGCGTTTAGAATAGAAAGCAAAAACAGAGGGAATAAATGACTAATGTCTGTTACATATGCAGTTCCTTTGCTTGTCTGAATGACTGATGACGCAATCAAGTAGAAAATCCAGTCTTTTTTTTATATATATAATCGTCTATATTTATTTATTATTTAATTAATTTAAGACAAATATTATAAAATCGAAAATAATTCTTTCAATTCAATTTTTCAATTCACAAATCTGGCATTATTTAAAAATTTAATCCTCATCCAATTAAATTAACCAATCTTTGAAAGTGCTATATTTTTATATAATCCTCATTCAATTTCGATCTGTTGTTGTATTTAATCTTTCAATTTTTTAAAAAATCACTTCTAATATTTAATTTTTGTTTTATTTTAGTACTCGTTAAAAAACTTAACGTTAAGTTTAAAAAAATATAAAAGTTAAAGTATTATAACGGACTAAAACTGATAGTTTAGATACTAAACGTGTTAAGTTTTTTGACGACGAGTACTAAAATGAAATAAATATTAAATGTTAGGTATTATTTTTAAAAATTAAAACTTTAGTTACTAAAATTAGTAGTTTAGACATTAAACGTATAATTTATCTTATTTTTTATATACGAGGATAATCCTTCCAACTTAATTTACCCAATTCATAAACGTAAAAAAAAATTTGTTAAGGGATTTAGTTCTATGCCATTAAATCAACCAATCATTGAGAGTGTTACATTTTTATTAGAAAGGAAGAAGGTGTTTGAATTTTCATTATATTTTTAGAATAAAATATTCAAATAACCTCCAACTATAAATTGTTTTTCAAATAATTACTTGATTTAAAAAATAATAAATTAATTTATTATTTTTTAAAGTTTAAAGATAATTTATAGTTTAAAAATCAAATTTCATCCTAACTGAAAATAATAGGATGAATTTACAACGAATGCTATTATTTATGTGTATCGGTTTAAAATAAAGTAAAATCTACAAATGATTATTAAATTATAATAAAATGATATTTTTAATTATTTTAACTTTTAAAAGTTATAAAACTTTAAATATTGTTAAAAATCTAGGTTCTATATTTTATTATTATTTTTTTAAATTTTAAAATAACTTTAATAAAAATATTGAAACTATCTTTTTTATGTTTTATATTTTCACTTATTATTTTTTATTTTCGAAAACCATTTTTAGTTTTACAATCATACACATTTTAGTTAATGTTTTTTGTTTTTTAAAATATAAAAACAATTTATATTTTATAAAACCAGATAGATTCTTTTAGTTAATAATTGAGTAAATTACACATTTAATACTTAAATTATTAGTTTTGGTTTGTTTAATATTTAATTTTTTTATTTTTTTCAAAATCATATATAAAGTCTAGTTTTTATTTCATTTTAATATAATCGTTCAAACTTTAACTTAATTTTTTAAAAATTTGAAAGTTTATGTACTAAAATATAATAAAACTGATAGTTTAGGTACTAAGTGGCTAAACACGTTAAGTTTTTAATGATGTCATACTAAAATGAAACAAAGACTAAATGTTAAATGATTTTAAAATAATTGAAAGACTATATACTAAAACAGAATAATTTATGTACTAAATGTGTTATTTACCCTTAATAATTTACAAAACTACTTAGTAGCAAAATCGCGCACATGATTTGACGAAACTAAAACCTAATAGTAAGAGCCCTAAATGAATGAATGACAAAGCTTGGGTTGCTTTGTTCCATAGGCTCGGGTCTGGGTGGGCGTTGCTGCTCTATCAGCTTCTCTACGAGAGGTTTCCAGACCACCTCATTCTCCGCCGCCGCCTCCTCTGCCAAAGCAAGTGCCAAAACATTTTTTCATTTGTATCGGTGCTCACCCAACAATTTAAAAATTGGTATTTACGACCAAATTGTTGCTGCAGATGTCAACGGAATTCTATACGTTCGGCCCGTACAAGATAGACCCCAAGGAGGTCTTCTTCTCCACCCCCCTTTCCTATGCCATGGTCAACCTCCGTCCTGTTGTTCCAGGTCATATCCTTTTACCCTCGGGAATTTAAATCCAATCAGTTTTTTTTTTACTTTGTTACGTGTATTATTTTGGGCTACAAGCAGGATAAATGGTGGTAATTTGTTGATATTAAGCATGATTTACCTCCGAGATTGAGCATTCATCTAGATAAATGGTGGCTGCTTTCTTTTGATCCTTTTACGTTAATCTCGCCTCTCTCACTACTGTATTCTACGAGTTTACATTTTAGTTATTTACATGTAACATGGTAGATACTAAAAGGATCAGAGTAAGATGGATGGACCTGGAAAGCTGGAAAGTTGAGAAGTGTATTTGTGGCTAGGAAGAATGTCCCGAAGATAAGGGATGGTGGGCTTTTCTGTTTGGTTACTTTCATTTGTTATTTGTTTTTAGGTTATTCCGGTTGCCGACTTCAAGTTGCAGACAATTTTTGTTACTGTTTGTTCCAAGTTATGTTATATTACTCTCTTTCTACCAAAAAAAAATCCTAATGATGAGGTTGCCTTATTTGATCTTTTGATAGTAAGAAACAATGTCTTCCATAGATAAAACTAATGTTTTGGGAAGTATGCCAGCTTGTGGCAGAGGAGTATTGATAGTATATGTGCACCCACACACCCATATATGTATGTATTCGTGGATATTTGTATGTATATGTAGAATTCACGCACAATTTTAGGAAGATGCGAAAGAAAATGGTGTACAATGTCATTCTAACTATATATCCAAAGCATTGCATTCTTGTATCAAAAAGAAAAAAAAAGCATTGCATGCTAAAATGGTACTGAAATATATGCATTTTTCTCATGTGAGCTGCTATGGTTTTTGATAAAAATATGTTAGGAAACCATGAATCTTCATTGTTGAAACATTCATGCTTGAATCTAGTTTCCTTAACATTGTGCACATGTGCTTGTCTGCCCAAGGCGTGAAGTTAAGCGGTTTGTTGATCTCACTGTTGAAGAGACGCAAGATTTATGGCTAACAGCACAGAGGATCGGTGGAGGGATTGAGCGTTTCCATAAGGCGTCATCACTCACTTTTACCATCCAAGTAAGGAGATAAGACTTGTAGTCTTGATCTATTACTTTTGATCAAGTACATATAGGGCTTCTGCACTAGTGTTGTCGTAGTAGATGACATTGTTTTGGTTACATATCATATGTTGGCCAATATTAAATTTTATTTATTCTCCTTGTCTGGCTGTTACTGAGGTGATGGGGATGTGGACCTCTTTGTTCATGGTTTTACTAATCTGCTGTTCTTTTTTGCTCACTTCTTATTTTTGTTTCCAAAGCTTGCATATATAGTCCGTTAAGCAATTTTCGTAGCTTGACTGTTATGAAGGGGTTTTTTAACGATGGCCTCCCTTTTTTATCAAAAAAAAATTGTAAAATCTTCATCCTATTCATTATTCTCTTGGCCAAGTTAGACCCCTTCAATTTGGGATGACCCTTACTTGGTATTTGTGTTTTTTTACTCTTTCAATGCGATTGCTAAGTACCTCGTGTCGACTCCTACAGCTACAATCTCCCATTTTGAGTTCTAATTTTTTGGTTTCTCACGCAATAACCAGTAATTAGTGTGTGATTGGCCATATGTGATTGAAAACTATGTTTTCTTATAGAAAATTGAGTATGAGAATTTTATGGTGCGATACGGACGGAAGTTCTTGCTGTTATGACCATGTGTTAATGCTTATGCTGTTTGGTACTTTTAAAGGATCACTTAAACCTAAAGTCTAAAGACTAGCAATGTGTTGTTAGGATGGACCAAAGGCAGGGCAGACTGTTGCTCATGCTCACGTTCATATCCTTCCAAGGAAAGATGGTGACTTTGAGAATAACGATGAGATCTACGATGCAGTAAGATAGATACTCTGATTAGCTTAGCATTTATTAGCTAAAAGATTGGATAAGCTCGTTTTAACTGTCTGCTGTTCGTGGTGTAGATAGATGCAAAGGAGAAGGAACTGAAAGGAAAGCTCGATTTAGATAAAGAAAGGAAGGACAGAAGTATGGAAGAGATGTGTAAAGAAGCAGAGGAATACAGGTCGCTTTTTGTGTTGCCCTGACAGCCATGTTGCATATGAACACATCGCACTGGATTTCCCCGTCGTTGATAGTTCTTAACTTTTTTGCAACTTTCTTTCGTTTTCGTGTGTCTGGACGAAGAATATTATCATATATTGTTGTTGTTGATGATGATGTAGTTACTTCAGCATGTAGTTAATGTGGCCAGCATTTATGTGCTGTAATAACAAAGCTTATGTTAAACAGTGAAAGTAAGGTAAGTGTTTCAATGAATTATAATTGAATTGTTTGCATGAACTAGAATTTGGACTCTGTTTGGAAGCAAAGAGAAAAATTATTCCATTTGGACACATGTTTTGTTCTTGGGAAGACAGAACAGCTTAGAGACTTGCAAGAGCATTGAAGTACAGAGTTTATCCAAAACTGCAACAATATCTTCTTATGGACAGATACATTGAAAATAATCCACGTTACAGATGGAAACTCCCCGTTACCTATAAGTTAGCTCAAAACAATCAAACATGAGCACATCTCCACCATGATACACACATATTCTTGGAATACACATTTTGTCTAAAACCAAAAAAGAATTGGATAAAAGCCAAAAACTTTCATTTTCCCCTACTTTTTTTTTTTTGAAAAAAACACGAATCCAATCTAACCCCATTACAAACCAACTCCTAAGCACACTAACTTAAAAAAAAAACCCAAAATTTTAAACAAAAGGAAAATGTGCAGTGCTCAGCTAGCAAGAAAACTACCCTTTATCCATGGGCTTGATTGCAGAAAACACCAACTGCTTCTGCCTCCTCATTTCCAATATCTTCCTGTGGGAGTTGGAGTGCAAGTCATCGGAGAAAGTAGGGCTACTTGCCGGATGATACTCCAGCACCAATCGCCCCGACTTATATCTTATCCCACAAGCATTGCAAAGTGTTTTAGGTCCATGAGGCCCCGCCCTCCATTGAGATGTCTTCTCCGCCAAGCAATGCTGGCATTTCCTTCCTACACGACCCCCTCTAACGTTCTTCACGTTCTCCTTTACCCACCACCTGTTTTCTTGGTTCCTCATGTCCCGGCATTTACGCACACGCTTCGACCTTGCCTACACCGGTACTTTAAACTCGTCGGACCAATGCATCACAACGTTTCCGCTGCTTAAAATTGTGCTACCTGAACTGTTGCTGTTGCTATTATCGAGTACTGATACCGGGCTCTGGTGCTTAGCTGTGGCCCCTAAAATATCCACGAACGATGTCTCCACGGCTGGAAATGCATCCTTGTTTGATAACCATTCTAGTTCTTCCTCTCCAAATTCCTGTCAACAGTAGTGTAGGGGTTACATTATCTATTCTCAAAGTTAACATCTAATATAACTAACAAAAATTTAAAGGTAAACTACGTATTTAGTTATCCACCTATTCTTCTTGTTCTGTTTTTGTTGATGTATTATTTTTCTTTCAAAATCATACATAACAATTTGATTTTATTTTGATCACTCGTCGTTAATTGATGTTGTTGATGAGTCACTATAAAATAATATCATATCATCATTGAAAAACATAAATATTACAATATCAACAGTTCTATTTATTTTTTTAACTGCAGGTGAACAACACAGAACAAATACGTAACGTTAGACATGATTTTGAAAAAATAATAATTAGGTGAACAAAACAAAACAACAAGAATAGATGTGATTGAATATATAATTTACCCAAAATTTAAAAATGATATACTTTAATTTGATAAATATTTAAATTAACAAAGAATAAAATTACTCCTCGATGAATATTTAGGGGTGCATTTTACTACCAGCAGTGGAGAGAAAAGCTTTTAAACTCAGCTGGCTAACTCTGCCGTATAAGGGGGGAAAGACAAAGGTGGGTCTTGTAGGATACGCATGCAACAGCAAAAAGAGAATGTTTGAATGTTGGACACAATTGACTTTTCACAATAAAAGATTTAAAAAAAATCATAACGGGGTGTACATATCAATTTTTATTTTCATAAAATGGAGAGGTTGCTGGAAAATTATATCACAAACCCAAAACTACCCTTCAACATCAACTGGCCGTCATTATTAATGTAACGAACGTGATGGGTAAATTTGTCCTCCAAAAAAATATAGTGGGACCAATCAATAATACGCAAGCATGAATCAGATTCAAATGCCTTCCGCTTTGACCCGAACCGGGTCATCCTCATCCCTGACTCGGAACAACCGCCCGAGTCAGCTCACTTTCTAGTTCCCCCAAGCCTTGAGAAAAACCTACCAAACTGCAAAGACTCGGCCGAGTTAGCACCAAACTTGGCCTCTTTAAGCCCTCGCCGAGAAAGCTAGCAAATTCTAGTACTATAAGCAAAAAGGCATAACAAGCCAATAAAAGAAAAAAAATAGCCTACAGGAAGAGAACGGTTATGGTTAAGCTTCGAGAAGTTGTTGATTTGTTCATCTTCGTCTTCATCTTTCTCTCCGACGTCGGAGCCGGAGTCTAATAACTCGTCGTTAAAACAAACGGCCATATCAAAAGCTTCCATTTCTGAAACAACTCTACCTTCCCGACAAAAGAGAAAAAAACGAAGGTGAAGAAAACGTTGAGGTTTCTCTTTAATGGGAAAGGAGGAGATTCCGATTTTTAGGGTTCTTTAATTTGTGTAAATTTTGCTTTTGTTCGCAACGCGGGCTGTGAATGAGGAAGTGGTGTCCACACCCTGTTATTGAAATCAGAACCATTCATTATAATTAGGTAGTCCTCAATTATAGAGTATTTATATAATGATCAGGTCACGCAAGCAACCATTCATTGTGTTATGTCTCGTTAAAAAAAAAATGATGTCCTTGTTATTATATATAATGAAGTAAAGGGAGGTAAGATAGTAGGTTGTCTCTAATATCAAGTTAAGAGTAGCTTCCGTAGAAAACTTCCGAATTATGAAATGTCCTCTGTGGGACTCGATCCCACGACCTCATGGTTAAGAACCTTGTGCTCTACCAACTGAGTTGGATAGTCATCTCTAATATCGTCTCGTTAATGAGTGATAAAATAATATAACTGACACAAACTAAATGATTTTCGTAGTAAACGAATTATTAGTATTTTTTAATGTCTTGAGTTCTAGCATTAGAAATATAAAAGTGTGAGTGTTCAATGTCAAATGATAAAAAATTATCTATAAATATATATTATCTTGTACTTACTCTATATTAATAAAAAATGTTATAATTGAATGTAAAACTAAAATTTAGTGTTATAATTGATAAATTTAAAAAATTAATGATCTAAACAAATCAACTAATAAAATTCAGTGGTATCTAAAACAGTTTCCCCTTTATTATTTTTTCATGTATTTGTTTCGAATGGTTAATGAATTTACAGGAAAAAAATGTTTTTGTTAGTAGTTACAGTTTTTTTTATATTAATATGGGGTAACACAAGACATTATTTGTTCAATAATAATTCACAATATTTTGATACTAAAAGTTAAACATCAATATTTTGAAGTATATTTGATAATTTATAATTAAAATTATATTTGATAAGTATACTTTTAATTAAAAAGTATTAAAATTTAAACTCTTTTTATTTTATTAATAGTTTTTATTAATAATCTAATTTTATCTAACATTCAATTCTAACTAAAATATTAAATATATTTATAATTAAATTCAATATTTATTATTTTTATATTTTTTATTAAGTATAAATATATTATATTTTTTAAGACAAATGTTATCATTCAAACTCATATAAGATAGGACAACATAAACATATTTGATCTAATTGCTTATTCTGTATTTAATTAATAGATAATCTTTCAATATTTTTCTTTTTAATTTAATAAATAACACTTTAATATGAATTAAGTGAATTCAATTGATAAAGGGATAGTTGTTACACTTAATTGTTTTGAGTTCGAACACAAGTAATTACATAATATTTATGTGTTTAACATGATTAAAATCTTTAAAACAAATGATACCACTTGTAATAATTTTTGAAGCATTTAATAATTAAAATAAAAAATTTTGATTATCGAATAATTTGGGGGAGAGCAAAAATGATAACCTTATAGTTGGGTGACAAAATATAACTGCTCCCCAAAATGAGCCCACCAGGTGCCGCAGCCCAAAACGGACCCAAACTAATTTAAGAACCTAATCCTCTATATCGCCGCCACCACCACCGTCCTGAATTCCCTCTCTCTCTCTCTCTCTCTCTCTCTCTCGTCTAGAACTAAGAAGAAGAAGGAAAGAAAAATGACGGAGTTTATGATAAGGAAGAAGCCAGGAATGGCGAGCGTCAAGGACATGCCGATCCTCCAAGATGGGTCTCCCCCGTCAGATACGCCCGTTATATACCCAACAAGGGCCCAGTGCTATGGCTATCTTTCTAGCTGCTTTCGGTGTCTTTTCTTATGGGATGTACCAGGTCGGCCAAGGCAACAAGATATGCAGGTCCTTACTTCTCTTCTATATAGAATAAACCCCTTAAATTTCTCTTTTCTTGTTTTCCTTGATTTTCTAATGTAATTTTTTTAATCTTCACTGATAGATTTTTTTGTATATTTGATCTGGTTTTTTATTGGATAGCCTGGAATCGTTGATATGATCTCGTATTGTAGTATTCTTTTGTTTTTACCTCATTTTTAGCTTGGAGCTTGATCTTGTTCGGTTGTTTAACTTTTATCTGTTCATTTTTAGCTTGATTCTACTGATTATTATATATCATATTTTATTCATATTTGCTGGTCCTTTCTAATGGATTTTAGTATAGAACCTCTGAATGGGTTTGATAGGAGTTACTGGTGCTTGTCATACGTCAGAGTGAACCAATTCTAGAACACTTTTGCCTCTAGAATTTGATGTGTTGAATTTCAACTGGTTCTGCTTACTTGTTATGCAATGCTCACACAAAGGAAGTGATACCTTTGTTAAGCCTGGAAGTAGCTTTTGCTCCACAAGGACTTTCATTCCTTGTTCTGACATGTGTCCAAGTTTCTGATGCCATAGCATTGTCGAATCTGAACTACATGAGGCAACAGAGGCTTCTGCTTCTTCCAAAGTCTTTCCCTTCAGCATGTACAAGTTTGCAGCTATCTTTTCACCTTTCAGCACCACAAGTGCTCCACAGAACACCTTCATGATTCCTTTACGTGTTTCAATCTTGCTTGCATTATTATGCAACAATCCGTAGGATAATAAATTTTTCTTCAGGCCTTTCACGTGCCGCACATCTCGAACAACTTTAATTGTTCCATCATACATATTCAATTTGATGGTTCCCACGCCAATGATCTCT